TTATATTTACATTATTTTCTGATGAGTTACCACAAATTACGTCATTCAACTGTCATTTTTAAAGCAAAACAGTTTGCACTATAGTTTTGACGTCAAGTAAGGTATTATGACGTAACAATAGAAATATTCATGCTCATCCACGGTAGTTCATGAGAAAATGAACAGTATTCTAATTTGCAAAGAATCTTAAGGAAAAATATTTGGAAATGTAAATATTATTGTATGTTTATTCGTAATTTATTGTTTGTACCAGCGTAACTTACAAACATTTAAGAAAATTTTATGAGTTTTTTTTTTCATTTTAGTTTAAATGACGATTCGCAAAAATTTTAAGCGTAAAAATTAATCAACAGACTTTTGATCCAGATTCGCAAAAATAAATCGACGTTAAAATTTCCAGATTTACGGTATATACTTGTTTGTATCTTTAACAATATGCAACGAGTCAGTTGATCTTGAGATGAAGGAATTCGATTTCTTCTCTATTTAAGATTCTTTTTAAATATATAGACCATTTTGGGGATATTTTTTTCCATGGAATCTTGATATAGTCCATAGGATCTTGTCAAGATATGTTTTATCAAACTTTGATTTACATGTGGGTATGGGATATTGACACTTATATTAGATAAAAGGTGGACCTATGGTATTTGATATATGTCTGGAACATCTTAAACTTTGCCTATTGTACCTGATATTGCATCAAAATGTTTAACCTAGGTAATTCTTTATTTCATGTTAATAATTTTGATTCTATGCAATTTTTACATATTTTTTTTCAGGAGAATAAAGATATTTTTTTTAAATGCATATGTAATGGAGTTTTCTTATCACAGATGATTTGCATTAAGTTTGCTTTATAAAAAATCACTGTTTGACTACAGTTGATAAAATAGAAATATATCAAGTATGAATACAAAGTACATGAAGTCAATTAACGACATATATGCGTATTATACCATTTACAATTTTGTCTATACATAATTTGTTCTTTTGATTACTTAAATACCACCATGAAATTTTTTTTTTCATTTTCATGGAACAAGTATTGAAAAGCATGCTCCCTTGCCATTTCATATACAGAGTAGCTGCAATTCCAAATAAAGTCATTTTGAACTAGATTTTTTTGTCTGCAAATACAGGTTGGATTTATAAATAAACAAACCTAAACATCAATTTAAAAGTGTACATATGTTTCACTATTCCAAAATAACTATAATTTCAATTTCCTTGTTTTGGTTCCAATTTAAAAGTATTATTGTAAGATACATGTGTTTGCAGATTCGGCCAGAAAAGTATATAGGAACTAGAACTGTTTTTTTTTTTAAATATTTCCTTGATAAATAGATATAACACAAAAAGAGTACATGCATATGTATCCAAATCGAATTTGTGATCGGTTCTTTGTTCCCTGCATTTAAAAGAGATTAACATAAAAGGAAATAAAAAATACGTAATGGATTGATACATGACTGATGTATAATAATGCATAATATTTTGTCTGAAAATGTCCCCTTTTTGCATATTATGTATCGTTGTATAAGTTTTGGCACAAAATCATGTTGAAATAAATGCTAAAATAGTAATATTAGTATATGTAAAAGATGGGTTATTGCTAGGGGATGCAAAGAAAGATTCTCATTAAAGTTCAGAACAAATGTGTAGAATTTTTCAGATTAAAGGAATACAATACAAACGTGTTTTATTTTAAATTTCTAACAGGTTGATGACAAAAGATATAATTATCAAGATCATAATATAAATCTGAATTTGAAATCAAATCACTTCCGAACTCTCTCTTCATCCATCAGGATTCATCCTTTACTCATATACAGCAATGAACTTAATCAGGATTATTTTTAACGGACTTATATATCTGATCCAAAACTCTTCGTTATTTCCTTGTGTTACAACATGTTACAACACCAGGCCCCGGGGCCACGAACGTCTTGAGTCAAACTCAAGGGCTGTATTTTACTCAAATCTGAGATTTTTTCTCAAGTCGCTGAGTTTAACTCAATAAAGTGTGCCACGAAACTTGAGTCTTACTCAAATAGAGTTTTTTTTCTTGAGTTTTTCTCAAAATATCTGAGATTGCTAGGTAGCTGTCTTAGAAGTCAACTCAACACAAAAATGGCTGCCAGGCGCATTATAATGCAAAACATTATTAGGCAAGAGAGGATACCACGTCGACTTTAGGATAGATCAAATCCACTGGAATCGTTGACAGAGGAAGAAATTTTTATGAGATACAGGTTTAGATCCGCCACTATTTTCTTCATATGTAGTCTCATTGAAAACCAACTGGAACATTCGACGAAGAGGAGTTCGGCTCTGCCACCATCGTTACAGGTGTTACTAGCACTTCGTTTCTTTGCTACGGGTGCGTTTTACCAACGTATTGGGGACTCGCTGGCTGTTTCGAAGTCGACTACAGGACGAGCTGTACGAGGAGTTACATGTACCTCCTTCCTCTGTTCGCTAGCCAGACAGTTCATTCGCTTCCCATCAATTCCTGAAACTGCAGAGATACGCACTAAATTCTACAGTTTAGCAGGTATACTTGTCCAAGATTTGATTATCTGTATTGACATGACTAAAACAACTGCGTACTTGGCAGTTACTTACCTGGCGATGTACAGTGCCCGAACGCTGGGCCTAATGTTACGTCATAAAACATCCAATAAACACACTTTCAATGACTTTTAATAGTCTGTTCCGCAAAGCCTCCACATTCTTTATATCATAAGAAAAAAGTATAATAAAAAAACCAAAACTATCTGAAATGTCGCACACAATTTTCAAATCATAAAAGAATGGTGCGCGGAATCACCCAAATTTCTTTATTTTCGGAAGTTAATCCAAGCTGTGTTTCATGACATATTTCAATTTTAGCAATTAATTGTTATGGGAATGAACAGATTATTTTATTATACCTCTGTGAATTTTTTCTATATGAAAATATTACGAATAAACATGCTATTTTTTCCAAACAGCCCCTACCGTGGAATAGTTTTTGTGCTATTTGCCCATGCTGAAATAGTCATTAAACTATTCACCGGCAGCATTCTGTTTCCCTCGCTTTTCATCTCGGAACTCTTCTGGTTTTATACAGATTGTGACGTAACACAAGTAAAGACTGCTTCGGTATAATAATACACTTATTTACTGACTATTCGGACAATAGCAAGTTTATCGTTACCCTCGACAGCAACTTTTTCCCTCGGCTGCGCCTCGGGAAATAGTTGCTGTCTTGGGGAACGATAAACTTGCTATTGTCTTCATAGCCAGTAAATAGGTGTATAATATTACACTTGCTAAAATGAAAAAAAAAATATAGCCTTATTAAAACAAAGATCTGCAATATATATACATTGGGGGGGGGGGGGGAGGGTTTAAATATAAATATAATGTTATTTAAGTCAGGTGCTATATATCTTGTTTACTTGTGTTCATATAGCTGACTCGTGATTTTTGCATGAATTAATGATAATTTCTTTCTTTCTAATGTCTTTTCTAATAATTTATGTAATTTTTCATTCTGGTCAAATATGGAATAAATATTTCAATTAATGATTAAAAGAAAAGAGAAAAGGTTATTATCCCCCCCCCCCCCCCGAAAAAAAAAATCGAATTTAAAATATTTTGAAATATACTGATGATTAGTATATATGTGAACACTGATACATTTATTATTGGTTTTTTCATTTTATTTGTTTAATTTTATAAAAGGTTTTCCTAATGTGGTATGCTGTGTAGACGGCACATTAATTCGAATTCGATGTCCTGCCCAGAACGAGGCCGAATATGTGTGCAGAAAGGGTTATTATGCATTAAATGTGCAGGTGAATATAATCTATTGTAATTATATGTACATGTTTTTTTCCTAACTAATTTATTTTTCAATTGCTTTATATGTGCAGGTGAAAATAAAGTATCGTAATTAAGTCGTATTATATCGTTTTCATTGGTTGCCAAATTTCTCTTTTTCACCATTTTTATATGAAAACGACTTGTGTGATATCGCACATTAAGAGGTTTTGCAGTACAATTACAAGTATAAATGTAATATTTTAACCATAGAATGTTTTTATTTTGTTTGTTTGTTTGTTTTTTGTTGTTGTTGTTTTTTTTTTTTTGTTTGTTTCTTGTTTTGTTGTTGTTGTTTTTTTTTTTTTTTTTTTTTTTTTTTTTTTTATTTTTGCCACCAATACCTTTAATAAATGATTTTTTGTTATGCTCATCTGTTTTTCTACTCAAGATGATATTCAAAGTCTTTAAGGATATTTGCACAAGATTACATTTTCATAGAATATATACAATTGTTTCTTCTGATGATAGTCACGTGGTTTTAGTCTATGGCAAGATTGAGAGATAAGGATAAGGATCAATTTAGAGAATGACATGCTTTTCTCAGATTGTATGCATTTACATTGTCGAAATTTGATGGTCAGACTATTTTGAAAATATAACATATTATATGTTATAATCGAGGGAATATATTACATTGTATAATTTTTTTCTTGTTTGTAAGATTTAGCAGAAACATAACTTGTTTTTGTACTTGCAACCACCCCCCCCCCCCCAAAAAAAAAAAAGAAAAAAAGAATAGTAAATTTACTTTCTTTCAGATGGCCTGTGATGCCTCGTTTAGATTTGTGAACTGCGTTGCAAAATGGCCGGGTAGTGTACATGATTCCCGTGTGTTTAGAGAATCGTCTCTTGCTAGACTCTTCGAAACTGGTAAGGCATAAATAAGAAAACTGAAATAGGTGATTTTTCTATGACATATAAATTATGATAATAATGATTAAAAAAATAATTAGCTTCAAAAGGGAGAAAATTCAGTCATACATTAACATATAAATTAAATTTGCGAGTAAACGGTATTTAAAAGGGCGTTCTAAAGTGCTTTACTTTTGGAGTTAACTGCTTATATTTTTTTGTTTTAATTTCCATTCAGAATATAGAATTTTTATGCTTACAGTATTTTGGGTGATTCAGGATATGCTCTCAAGAGGTACCTCATGGTTCCATATTTGACTCCCAGTAACAGAGCACAGGAGAGGTTTAATACATCCTTATGTCGCACGAGAGTAGTTATAGAACAGGCGTTTGGTATCCTAAAAAGGAGGTTTCCTTGTCTACAGACAGGTTTACGGGTGGAGCCCGACAAAGCTTGTGCTATCATTGTGGCCAGCACAGTTCTCCACAATCTTGGGATTGAGAGACATGACATTGTAGATGCGATACCAACTGTTCAAGGTCAACTGATCGACGAGGTGGCGCTGCCTGCGGTAGGAGGGCAACACGAAGGAAAGCATGTTAGAGATCACATCGCCAATGTGTTTTTTGGGCATTGAATACGTAAATAGAATCGATATTTAAATAGATATATATACTAAAAAATAAAATTTCATTGATGATTTATTTGCATTTATAAAACTATGTTTTATTTAATTCTTTTTCAACTTCAATAACAATATTTCTTCTTTTAGCTTCTCTTTTTCTAGACGTAAAACTTCAACTTCTTCTAACATCTTCTTTTTCTTCAAATGCATCAGCTCCATTTCTAACTCTAACTTTCGCTTTTCTGTCTTGAGAAGATCTTTCTGTAGAATTAATAAACTCTGTTCCTTTTTGTTTTCTTTTAATTAGAGCGAGGTGGCACTGAGGTGTACCAGTCTGAAGATGAATCTTGACCCTCGCTGCATGTTGAGATGGATTCCACCTGATCCCTTTCCTTCTCTAATTCTGTTAAAACAGAATGATGTAACTATTCAATGATGCATAAAATAAAAATATGAGTAACTTTGAGCGCCCCGTCACACTTCTGTTTGTTTTGAACATATTTTTTGACAATCAAAAGGATCAGAAACAAGTTTTATCAACGTACTAGTTCCTCTCCTTAATATAACACAATAATTATCATGCAAAATAATATTTAAAAAATATATACCATTTACCACTTTTATTTCGTGCTTTCGCGCAAGGATTTTGACCCCTTTTCCAAATAAATAAATCAATTAATTAAAAAAAAAAAAACTCACGATTTTAGCGCTTTTAAAGTGAAAAATCTGTTGAGGATTTTAATACATGTACGTATTCTTTGCGAATGTCTAGTAAATAAACATATATATATGCTTTTTTTTTTTTCACTTGATTTACTAGGTAATTCGAACTGCGTATATATCCAATATAGTAATATAAAATCTCTCGAAATAGTATTAAGGTTATTACTAAAGGTGGTTACATGTATTTCATTTACATCAAGAAAGTATTCTAACCACCAGAATCAAAACCCGAGTCTAATCCCTGCAAGGACGGCCTTCCCTCCAAAGTATCCAAAATGGCTTGCTCAACAGGGGTTGAGGATGGGGGCTTTGGACCTCCACCTGTCTTGGGTCTTTCAATTTGGGACAGTTTGTCCTTTGCTACGTTAAGAACAATAATAATAATAAAATTTATTTTAGCTTGTCAAACTCTTTATTTCTTTTAGAGACTCCGTTGTAAATAAAAGAGCGTTACCAATGCGCGGATCTAGAGGGGGGTTGGGGGGTTCCAGAATTTGCAGAGTTATTAAAAGTATATACTGAAGCAAGTAAAAAACGAATTTGGACCCCCTCTAGAAAACGTGGACCCCAACACCAACACAATTTTTTTTTCACGTTGGGGAAATGGATTTTAGATTGCTTTTGTTGTGTTTTGTTTTGTTTTTTGGGGTTTGTTTTGTTTTGTTTTTGTTTTTGTTTTTTGTTTTTTGGCTTGTCAAGACATTTCTAAGTTGGAAATTTTTGATTGGGGATTGACCCACCTTGGAAAAAATTCTTGGATTCGCGCCTGTTACCGATACATGTACATATATATATATATATATACATAAAAGATAATACCAGGTTAAATACAGATATATACTATAAGCCGACAGATACACACCAATATCTGCATTTCGGATCGTGCCATCCCCACCATACTAAAACGGCTATACCATATAATCTCGCAAGAAGGATCTGTACCATTGTGAGCAATATTAATACGAGGGATATCCGTTTGGAGGAATTAAAATTGTATTTATTGAGCCAAAAATACCCAGAGCAACTGCTAGATAATAGTATTATGAAAGCCAAGGAGTGTGATAGAACACAATTACTTTCAAACACACGACGTGCGAAGGACGGAGAAACTATACCCTTTGTTCACACGTACAATCCGAGAAATAAAAACATCAATTCAATTGTTTATGAATTAAATAGCTTACTTAGAGAGGATGAACAAACGAAAACTACATACAAAAACTGTCGTTTTATCAGCAGTAAACGTCAGCCTAAAAACCTTAAGAGAATACTTTGTTCCTCCCAATTCGCTGACCATAATTATACAGTGTCAAAGTGTACGGACCCTCGCTGCGGCACATGTGACTACATTACAGAAGGGACGAGTTATAGTTTTAACGGGCGTGAATTTAAAGTTAATGCCAACATGTCATGTGATACGAAAGATGTCATATACGCCATCATATGTCCTGGATGCAAAGAATATTATATTGGTGAAACTGGCAACAGTCTCCGTGCCCGTGTACGTGTACATAAGCAACACATCAGTACACCTGAATATAGACAAATCCAGTTAAGTGCACACCTGGAAACTTGTGGAAAAAAACGATTTAACATTTTCCCTTTTTATAAACTCAGATGTGCCAGTGATATCCAGAGACGGGAAAAAGAAAAACATTTTATTTGTATTCTAAAGCCAAAACTTAATAGTCTCTTATAAACTACCTATGATTTTCCCGAACTTTTTCATCATCATTGCAGTATTTTATCTATGACGTCACAATATAGACATTAAACGTTCCGCTTAGTTTAACGTCATAATCATTGTTACTATGTTACCGTTGTATACATTTTTGTAATGTAAAGCTTCTGAAGATTTTTAATGAAAGCGCTAAAGCTTTACGGAGAATTCTTGTGTTTTCTTTTTATATTTGTTTAATATTGTAATCCGATTACTGAGACTTTATTTCAATTTTGGATATATATATATATATATATATATATATATATATATATATATATATATATATATATATATATATATATATATATATATATATATATATATATATATATATATATATATATATATGTATGTATATTATGAAACGATGCTATAAAGATAAAAGACAAGGTTTGATTTTTTTTTATGTTTTTTATTATGAAACGATGCTATAAAGATAAAAGACAAGGTTTGATTTTTTAACTGAAATGTGCTTTGTATTCAGAATATAGTCAGAATAACAAAAAGTAAATGATTTTTAGATGTGTACCTCTGGCTTTCAAATTGGCATACTGCTTTGATGCCTCCTTCCTGTCCGAAAGTAAATACATATTCTGTAACAGAAATAAACCGGGAATAAGTTGTGAAAAGAAATATAGCTCAATACTTGCAACTCTTCAGTATGGAATGAATATGATAAGTTTTATGAAGACTTCCTAGATGGAAAAGGGGGGGGGGGGGTTGCATGTGCACCCATCAAATCCACCTCCATGACACACATAAGTAATTTGCAAGTTTTTTCACACTTAAAAAATATCAATATGAAAAGTAAATTAAATTAACGGAAAAAATTTCTTTGCGCTTTAATCTTTGTTTCAGTGAAAATCTTTAAAAAGGGGAAGGGTAGCCCGGGTTATAAATAGTACAATCTTTTATGCTAAACCATTTGCCGTATGATATATTATCACTTTGCTAAGTTTATATGGAAAATGGACCTGACATTTATTTTCTTTCTTTCTTTTCTGAGCACTTTCTATTTGTGCATCATATACAGTCTGTTCAAAGTCTTCGCAGATGACGTGTTATTAACTAAATAAAAAGCTCATAAATTAAATAAATCTATAATTTAACTTAACAAGATACAAGCGAGAATAATTTTAAACTTTATAGAATTTTTAAAATGTATGAAATAAATTATCAAAGTAAGAAAATTTATAAATAATTCTTTGAAATAAACAAACTCGTTTACAGCTCTTGCTACATCCTCCCAGGCAGCTTCTCTCTCTACTTTTCCCCTCCCCGGTCCTTTAAACTTTCCAAAAAGTTTCTGCTCATTTTTTGAAACAAATTCAATTAAAACACTCTGTTCTAAGTCGCTCCAGGAAGGTTTCCTTTTTGGCGTGGATGCTGCGAGGGGAGTTTCGACAGCCTCGAATATTGTTTCGTTAATTTTGGAAGGATTTTCAACTATGATATCATACAGTACATCCATTTCTTCCATATTGGTGAGACAGCCGTTCTGTAGTATGCAACGTCATCAAAACATAAAATATTACGTCACAATTATGTGAATTTGCATTATAGAGGTAGATTCCAAAGGAAAACAAAGAGATTCCAAAGGAAAACAAAGAGATTATGTTTTTCATTATTTATTTTTCTTTTATTTACATTGCCAAGGCCACTTACATCATAAAAAAATAATTTGAGTTTTGTTACTCAGCGGAGTTGAGTTGCTTTAACTTTCGTGGCACACTTTTTGAGACGTAACTCAGGTGAGTAAAAAACTTAGAGTTAAACTCAAATTTGAGTTGAGTTAAGTAAAACGTTCGTGGCCCCGGGGCCAGAATTATTGGTGAATTTTTTTTCCTACACCCTATGTTCATTTTTACATTTACGGTTACGATATCCCCAAGCGCTTAAATACGAAGAACTATCAATATAAAATATCAATATAAAACATTAGAATTACAGAACTAATTAGAGATATATGGAGAATAATACATACCCTTTTCCATATCACGTCCTGTATCAGCCCGAGACACCAATATCAGCCAGAGGACCGAATGCCCGAGGGCCGATATTGGTCGAGGGCTGATACAGGATGTGGGTATGTTTTATTATGTTTATTAGGTACTTAGTAATGAAATACAGCACATATCAACTCGAGAAAAATATAAATAAATAATCATGCACTGACTACTGACATGTAGCTTTTTATATCAAAGAATAGTAATTTGAAATTAAGAGAATGTAAAAAAAAAAAAAAAAAAATCGTATCAGCCCTGCAGATCCATATCAGCCCTACAGGATCCGTATCCGCCCTGGAAACTGATAGGGTTATTGTGACATCAGGCATATTGCATATATGCAAAAAACCTGAATTTATTACTAAGTATGTAATAAATAAAGGTAACAGATGTTTCCAAACATGTATGGCATGGCCAAATTCAGTCCCCAAATATATAGTTGATAATTTTAGAAAAAAACAGACAGCCGTGAAAATGACTTCAATTAAACAACGTTTTTTTTTTTATGTTTTACTTAAATAGAGTATATTTAAAATGATTAAGTTGGAATAATCTAAATGATGCCGTCTCGCCAGAGTTAAAAATAAAACAAATATATATTTGGCAAACAATTATCTTTTAAATCCATGTTTTAATTGCTGTAAATGTGGAAATTCATGCATGGGGATGAGAAAGCTTTGGCAGAAATATTCCCCAGCGAATCATGCCTGTAAACATATTTTATTCAAATTAAACTTGTTAAATATATTCTGGTGTCGCGGAAAGAACCCCCCACGAGTAATACTCTTGCCCCTAATTAGCGTCTTTCCGTTTACAGTAAACATGATTTCAATTAATATGGATAATTCGAATGCAATAAAATTTGTAATAGAAAGCTTTTTTTATCATTAGAAACATGAAAATAACTTTTATTTCAATCTATTTCTAATGCCGATTATTCGTTATAGTCAATACTAATCCTACAGCCATTTCCACAATCTGCCCTCTTAATTCCTTAAAGAATATGTTTTTATATGGAATGCATCATTGATTAGTAAAACCTATAAATGGCTTGTTAAATCATTATGAAAAATAAATTTGATTATCTGGATTTCTGTTAGCAAAAAGTTTAATGGAAAACAAACAAAAGAAGAAATAAATAAAAACTACTTAAAAGAATTAAATTCTTTCAACAAAACAACAAAAAATATAATTTCCTGGTTATTGTGGGTATGGTAAACACGTGCAATGACTAAAAGCAGAAGGTGTTATTCAATATCACTGCTCTGAATTAATTCCTTTCTAATTTTCTCCTAACTCTTCCTTATATTTACTTCTCAGATCCTTTATTGATGAATTTTTATGTACCTCTCTTCCCCTTCATCGATATACTTACCCTCTTCTCTCCCTCCTTCTATTTTCCTCCTTTCTTCTTACAGTATTCCCAAAATATTTAAATCTATTTTCCCCTAATCAAACATTTTCAAAGAAACACTTTTTTCTATAAGTACACGTAACAATAATTATCTAATCTACTTCTTCCTACATGTATTTCCTTATCATTTATAATTAAATTAATTAAGGGACAATATCAAAAGCGAGCATGGTAAAGAAAATTCATGAGCATTTGGTCCTTTAAACATATGAAACAGAAAAAAAAATCTGAATATTTATTTAGAATAACTGAAAGGATAAAGAAGGCGCAGTCAATAAATAGAGAACGTTAGAGATGAGATCAAATAGTTTTTTTTTAAATTCTTGTATATATTTTCGGAATAAATTTATAAGCACGTGTTACGTGACAGTTTAAGTTTCCTTAAATTGCATCAAACACGGTTGACCATTTAGGAAACAGAACAAAACAGAAAAAACAGGAACCACGGCTATCATTGAGGAAAAATTTGGAAAATGTTTTGGATGTTCATTAACATACGATTGCAATGTTTTATTGTTGTTATTGTTTTAGGGATCAATATCTTTTCTGTATCTAAAGCGTACAATAACTTCGAGGGGTAAATATGTTCTCTTTGATAACATTCTAGTTTTAGTGTTCAGGTAGAGTAATAGTGATTTTTTTCTTAATGACTCAAACTTTTTACAGGAAACCGCATAATTGTTGTGATGGGTTCATGTGGAATACCTCTATGAAGGATTGCATAAGTAAGTTTTTTTTATTAAATTTTGCAGAAATAAGATTCTGAATCTGTCTTGACATCTTGTTTTGTCACAAAGGGAAACGAATGAAATGAAATTTTGACGTCAATTTAATATTTATTTATTTGAGTTAATGTCACCTTTCTGATATTATATGCATATTGCATGAATGAAATAACTTAATAAAAGTGCGATTACTGAGAGGGTGTAAAAAAGACAATATCTCATGTTTTTTTACTTCTTTTTTTTTATTCATTTCCTTAATTATCTATTTTAAGATATTTTTTTCACTTTTTAAAGCTCAACTCAGCCCAAAATTACGTTTCATCATTTAAAAACAAATGCCGTGCAAACACACATGCATTTGGTTGTCAGAAAAGTTGAAAGCTCTATAAAATATTAATAATAATAAAAAGAAAATACCCCACTCATTCACGATCAAGGAAAGTCTGACTGCAAACAAAAATAATCATGTGAGAAGTAGTTTGCAGTATTATCTATTCATTTACTAAGTGAAATTGTAGAAAACTATTATAGAAAAGTAATTTGAAAAAAAAAGTGTGATTGCACATTACGTTGGTTACAAATGTAGAAAGGTATTTCTGTATATATGAATTAAAAAAACAGAGGGGCGTTATGGTGCCCTGGAGGAGTAAGCATCGTCTGTTGGACAGTCACACCTGCCGCGTACTTTTTGTCATGCTCGTGTAAGCGGAAAAAAATCCGTAGACTGTCCAGTGTGAAAATAATGTCTTACAATTTATATTAAAAACGTCAGTGAACGCTCGACTTAACAATAGATTGTACTGGCAGACGAGGTCATTGAACCGACTATAGAATTTGCGAAATATTGACCTGTATTAGATTTTTGATATCCTTGTATCATCAATTTATTTGTCAATAACCTGCCCACTTTTAGAAATTGCTTATTAGTAGAACATGATTTTGCGTATCGAATCAAACGGGAGACATAAACTCCATATGAAGGTGTTAATGGTATATTGCTACTTAAATTGGGGAAATTGAACTAGATAGGAAAGGCATTACATCTATCGTAAAGTTTAGATATTCGTTTGTCATGTCTTTCCTTAGTGAAATATCTAAATATGAAACAGATGTGTCAGTCTGTGATGTCTTTTATTTCATGTTCAATGGGATTTATCGAATCAACGTATGAAAGAAAATAAATATTGTCAATTGATTAAACGTCGTATAAAAATGATTCTAAATCTCGAGTTGAAGGCCACAGCAAAAGACTTCATTTTCATTTTGAAGTATTTATTAACCTCTGCTTCACATAAATGCAAAACGGGTCTGCTGATAATGGGGCACTATTAGCACCCATGTATATTTGCACAGATTATTGGAAGACCTGGTCTCCAAGAACTGCATAAATATTTTCAATTATCTTTTAATAATTCGAAATTTCATACATGTAATTATCATGAAATGGAATAATATTATACCTGTTATATGGGTACGTAGACAAAGGATTTTATGTCAGAAAGTAAACTTTGAACGTTGAATCAAAACACTTAATTTTCAATTAATGTTTTACAAATGCATTACATACTAGTATCCCCTAAACGGTGCATTTAAAATTCCTAAACATTGCAAGTAAATAGTTCACACATAACGGTGGTAAGAACAAAGTAATACTACTTATCCAATCAACATATAGCTTTCAGCTTTACACTGTAATGAGTAAATCTTGTAAATATTCATTCATTTCTCCTTTTTTTTTTTTTTACCAGAGTGTAATATAGGTTTCTACGGAGATAACTGTTCCATTCCCTGTCCAAATTTAACCTTTGGGTGGAACTGCCAAAGAATATGTAGCTGCAACGAAGATTTTTGCAACCATGTGTATGGTTGTATGTTAGAAAGAGGTAAAGTTCGAAAGATGTTGATATATGTTTTTTTCTTTCGTATATGTATAATTGAATTTCAATACTGCTTTGTATGACTTTCCAGGGAGTTCTGAGTACCCGGCACAGTCAACAGTAGGCTTAATGAGAAAACCCTCCATGTCGATGAATTCAATGATGACTCTTGGTATTTCGTCACTTGCTATATTTTCCACAATGATTTTTATAGTCCACATTGAGTTAAAGTTCTTTCCAGGAATCAGGAAACTGACAGACCTTTGGAAATTGAAATGATGGACCTGAATCAGAGTAAAAATAATCCCTGTAAAATATGAAAATACTCTTGCGAGAAAAAAAATGTAGAACAGGTTCTAATAATTGCTGAAATATATGAATGTGACTAAGATTATAAAAAGACTAAATCCCTTGGATATAAATCCATTCATGACTTTCAGGGCTACTTGAAAGATTGT